GCTCTTCCTGCTCCTCTGGGGGCCCTACGTCGTGGCCAGTTACCTGCGGGTCCTGGTGCGGCCCGGCGCCGTCCCCCAGGCCTACCTGACGGCCTCCGTGTGGCTGACCTTCGCGCAGGCCGGCATCAACCCCGTCGTGTGCTTCCTCTTCAACAGGGAGCTCAGGGACTGCTTCCGCGCCCAATTCCCCTGCTGCCAGAGCCCGCAGGCCACCCAGGCCACCCTCCCCTGCGACTTGAAAGGCATCGGTTTATAAGTGGCCCTCCCGTCACCTGCACCCCAGCCTGGCCTCTCTCTTTGGCTTGGATGGCGACGTCTCTTCTGCCCCTTCGGCCCCCTTTTTAATTTTCTACGCTGCCTTCAAAACGACTCTCGAAGTGCGTCATCACTTGGATTGTACAGACTCCAATTGTACAGGGGTAGGGTTTCGAAGTCCCAGCCCCACCCCAGCTCCTGCGATTGTCCTTCTAAATATATTTTCATCCTGACATGGATGTAGGTCCTGGAGTCTTTGTACTTGTACTGATGTCTTTTATTCCATGTGTTACTTTTTTTTTTTTTTTAAATAAAGGCTAATTTTCTTCATGCAACCTTTCCTAAAGACCATGGCCAGTTTTCTACAGAAGCTATTTTTGACAACCTCAAGTGGCATTACATTTTGCAGTGAAGTAGAGGAACCCAGAGGGGCTTCACCAGTTCGATTTCTTGAGGGTCTTCTGTTGGAAGCAGGAGACAGAGGGAAAGTTGTCTCGAGTTCCCTCTGAATTGCCGGCCTGGGGTCAGCTGGACTGCTCTGGTTCTTGGAAGGCGTTGAGAACTTTGTTCAGTATTGATAGTGAATTTAAAGAGCAGAGGTGGGAGAGAGTAGCAAGGAAGTCATTTTTAATAGGTAACAACACAAGTAAGATTTGTTTCCTACCTTGCTTTATACACTAGGAAATGCCCATCAGCAACAAACTGCTCTCTGTATTATACCAATCTCAAGTGGAAACATTTCTGTAAAATTGTACCTTTCAAAAGAGTAAAAAGTGTTTTGGCTAGTAATGGTGTGGAGAAAATACAGTATTGCATGTTTTTGTATGTACTGATTGTGGTTGATGGATTGGGAGGGCTCTCGGAGACAAGCAGAGTGCTACATCAAAACTGTTCAGGTATTTTTGGCCAATAAAAATTTAAAAACTTTATGGAAACAGTTTTTGCTTTGAGGAGCCCAGTTTTATTCTGTCTTATGAAACTGATTTCCACTTTGAAAATTGTTCTTCTTTTGTTCATGGTATAAATGGATGGACTATAATGATACTCGCTTCTGTGAGACAAAGCATTTCCTTAAAATGTTTGCTAGGTTAAGCTGTGCTGTTCTCCTGATGGTTATTTTAAATTAATAATGAGAACTATAATTTTAAATACTATTTATTTGTTAGGCACATTGTAACCTTAAATTGAAAGACTAAATTCTGCAAGTACTGTATAATATTTTTTCGCTTACAATGCTACATTTTTATCAATGTATCTTCCGTTTTGAGGGTTTATATCTGTATTTCTCTTTGCATTATATAAATATACCAGTATTTTCATTCTGGAGTGGGTTTTTGTTGCTGTTGCTGTTTGAGGCTTTGACAGGTGGTAATATACCTCTAAGTAAGGTACTCATGTTCTGTGATCCTTTTAGTGCATGCTGTTTAGTTCGCCGTAATTTCGAAGACATTTAGAGGCTTGTTTACTTAAAATGCAACATAAAAAAATCTGCAGTTCTTCTCTTAAAGGGAAGAAACAGTATAGATATAGTTTTAGAACTTTTTAATGAATCTATGAAACATGAGTATGAGCAGAGTAATCACTTTGATAAAATAATAATTAACAGGTGCAATAAATATATTGAAATTTCAGTTGGGCAAAATATAAACTATTAAATATTCAGTCCAAGATGGATGAAGTCATAAGAAGCAGGTGTGACCAGCTTATCTCAGGTGAATGGTCAGCATAATTTTATTTTTTCTGTAAATACCAATCAGTCTATGCAGACAGTCTCATATTTGGAAGACATGAGTAATTATTAGCCTATTTCTCCCCAGATCATAGACCAGGTAGACATTAATTACCCAGGGGCTACTCATCAGATATCTCGGCTTACCTGAAGTCAGGTCCAGGAAGTAAGCATCTCCTCATCCAAGCCTCCACCCACCTAAGTGATCCAAGTTCAAAAACTAGAAGTCACAAAGCCCGTGTGCCATTCAGAACTTCTGACACCTGCCACGGCACAGGGACCGGTCCATCAGCGCTAACTGCTGTGCAACCCACAGGCCAGTGGCTCAGCATCCTGCGGGCTTTATATGGCCTTGAGTTCATGGGTATTTTTTCATAGGAGAATCTACAAGTCAGGGATTCTCAAATGTTAACATTCATAATAATTACTACCTTAAGTACTTGCAGGGTCCAGAGATGCTTATTAGGAGTTGAGGGGGGGCCAGAAAAAAGCATTTTTAACAAGGTTCCAGAAGTTGGAGGCAGACTTGCAGGCCTCTGCTCAAACGTGGATTTACCATGTGTACCAACTTGATCTGGTTTCGTTTTGCTTTGTTCTGACTGGGTGACAGATTTCTAATGAGGACGCAGGTGACAGGTAGTGAGAAATGACAGCGAACTGTCAAGGAAGAAGAAAGAACCAAGAGAGGCAGAGAAACCAGCTGTCCAGGGGAGTACTGTGCAGGAGCAAAAATCCCCTCGCACCTCAAAAGCTGTTTTCAACACTGAATTTATTAAGCCTGTACTTTATTAATTCACATTAATACAAAATCATCAGGAAAAGGTCAGTTGTGTTTCAGAATACTCATTGTACCAGGACAGGTACAATGTATTTGGGGAAGTGTTCCATTAAAATAGGAGACCCTGGTGGTGCAGATGGTAAAGAGTCTGTCTGCAGTGCAGGAGACTTGGGTTCGATCCCTGTGTCGGGAAGATCCCCTGGAGAAGGAAATGGCAACCCACTCCAGTACTCTTGCCTGGAGAATCCCATGGTCAGAGGAGCCTGCTAGGCTCCTCCATCCATGGGGTCCGCAAAGAGTTGGACACAACTGAGCGATTTCACTTTCACTTTCCATTAAAATAGTTCATTTCTTTAATTGAAAATTTTATTTAGCATAAACACTCTCACTCCTCCCTGGGTGAAATAAATGAGTTATATCTATACTTGAAGCAAAAGAAAATGGATGACTTGTCTATAAATCTTTCTCTGCGTATCCTGGCATGGAATTCTTGGGTCAAAAGTGAGCATTTTTAGGTTTTTTGATACCATGTGGTCAGATCACTTTGCAGAAAGTCTTCTATCTACTTAGATTTCCACCTGACCATTCATTTTTTGAAAAATGAAGTTATCTCAAGTAAAATGCAGAAGCAAATAACAAATTAATAATCATAATAATAAATAGTAATCTCCATTTCCACTATTCAGCCAAGTTTTGCCACATCTTGTCAGTCTTGCTCGCTGGTTTCTACCTTTTTATCTTTCCCTTTCCTCTCTTCCCTTTTTCCTCTTCTTGCTTTCCTTCCTCCCTCTCTTATTCCTCCTCTTCCTCCCACCTCTTTATTTTCTTCCTTTCCTTCCCTCTTTCTTCCTTTCTTTCTTCCTCCTTTTGAAAGAAATAAAAAATGACACAAGCACTTCTGCCAAGTCTTTGGTTTCATCAGCAGTCATCTCCATCCTCAAGTCCCCTGCCTGTAAGAGGTTCAAGGTCCCGGGTTCAGGAAGGGATCATTGGGCTGGTAGGATTGCTTCTACTCTTCACTGTATTTCCACGACCCATAGGCTCAAGTGCAAATTTCTGGTCTGCCACAGGCGGCCTACTGTGGTCTGGCCCCTCCACACCCTGGCCTCATCCTCCCCTGTATTTCCACTTCTCCCTTCTCTGGCTGCCTTTGTATAAACCCTCCCTAGGAAGCCCACCCCCCTTCTCTGTGTGGGGCATCCCTCACCAGCTCCTCCAGGGCAGAGGCAATATTCACAATATTTGGTAACTCGGATGGTGTGAGCATAACTAACCTGTACAGCTGTACCCTTGGTCTTGGGCAAACATCAGGGTTATGCTGGACCCAGATCCAAGATTTCTGGAAGGCCTTCTTAGCCCATTCACCACTCTGCTGGGCTCTCGTGGTGCATGGTGTATACCGCCATGCATCCTGGTGCATCCCTAGGCTCCTGACTCCCCTGCTGGCCTCACCTCCTCCCACTCCCTGCTCAGGCCTGAGATCTGGCTACTCCAAGTCACGGGCAGTGCCCTGAACAGATCACACTGGGTCACACCAACTTGTTTGACATGCATTGTTTCTTGTGTCCAAAGTCCTTACTCCCTCTTTTCCCAACTCAACTGCTGTTAAGTTTTCAAACATATAGGGTGAGCTTTTAGACAGAAAGGGTGAACTAACCTCTATATAGCCAAAGCTATGGTTTTTCCAGTAGTTATGTATGGATGTGAGAGCTGAACAATAAAAAAGGCTGAGGGATGAAGAATTGATGCCTTCGAACTGTGGTGTTGGAGAAGACTCTTGAGAGTCCCTTGGACTGCAAGGAGATCAAACCAGTCAATCCTAAAGGAAATCAATCTTGAATATTCATTGGAAGGATTGATGCTGAAGCTGAAACTCCAATACTTTGGCCACCTGATGCAAAGAGCCAACTCATTAGGAAAGACCCTGATAGTGGGAAAAATGGAAGGCAAGAGGAGAAAGGGACGACAGAGAAAAAGATGGCTGGATGGCATCACCAACTTGAGTGTGAGCAAGATCCATGAGATAGTAAAGGACAGAGGACCTGACATGCTGCAGTTCATGGGGTCACAGAATTGGACATGACTTCATGACTGAACAACAACAATCTCTACAGAGAGAGAGATGTTGTCCCCATGCAGGTCCTAAAGTTTTTAAGTCTCCAAACACAGTCATTAGATCTGAGTGCCACAGTGGACCGAGTATAGCAGGCTTCCTGGCTTCCTGGCATTTCAAGATGTCTCTGACTTCAGGTGGGTGAAACTATAAAATGTGGCAGACCTAATATACTGTTTTTCATGCCCCTGGTAGATGTGTCACACCGTGTGACCTTCCGAGACCACGGAACTTCAAGACTTTCTCTGGGAGGGGGAAAGGAGGTATGGGAAACTGTCTCTACCCACTCATATTCTAGACCGATAACAATATTTTTTGCATAGTTTATTATCAATAGCTGTTTCTGGAGTAAATAGAATTAAAAGCAAATTTGATCTAAGTCCAAGGGGTTCTTCACACTTTTTCTTCAACTTGGACAAGACTTTTGGGGTCTAATTCATCTCAAGAACAGAGCCCTCTGGCCCTTCCTTTTCCTTCCTTTTGGGATATTTTTGCTGGGGATGTGATGCTTGGAGCCACAGCAGCATTCTTGCAACCATGAGAAGAGATACTGTCAACATGGCGAAAACAGCAGCCCAGAGAGATAAAAAGAGCAGATATTTAATTTAACATTGTTGAGCTACTTACCCAAAGAAGCAACCTCATATCTCTAGATTTTAGATTTCTGGTCTTCAAAAAAACTCTGCTATTGCTTCAGTCCCTAATATTCTGAAAGCCTGTCATCTGAAGCAACAATTAACTGCAACAATACTTAAAACAACTCTATCCTCTCCACTTCCTTGACAGATATGCTTGATATCCTGGAATTGTATTCACAAATTTTAAAATATTAGACTCATTTATTCACATTTCCAATTATCAGATCATTCAGCCTGCTGTTAACTGTTAGGTTAACCTGGCTCTGGAAAAAATAATAAACTAGATTAGACTATCTCTTGGGTTGAAATAAATCTGGAAGATTTTTTTAAATACCTATTACAAGACTGGGTTCTATTTAATTACATTTTATAAAAACTGTTACCATGATCAGTATATTTTTAAACTTTTGATATGATAAATTTAGTTATAGCAATCTGGAAAACCACCTGAATGAATTCATCTAATCCATAGGTACTACAAGTCGCTAAGAAGCTGGTTTCTGTTTTGGGCAATGCAGGGAAACATGGAGATAAGAAAGGTCCAATTTTCTTGCTGATGAGGTAGCAAGCTAACTGGAGAAACCTGGCAAATGTGCCTCAAGCCATAAATCAAGGCAGAACATAATTTATACCAGAAGAGAGATCTAGTTAAAAAGCTTGGGATAACGAGACCTCATAGCCAATTGCCCAGAAAGGGCCCCAGGCACTCTACCTCTGGTTGCTCGATGAGGGAAGTGGGGGAAAAAATCAGAAGATGGAAAAAAATTTGTCCAGTTTGCATCTTCTCCAACTTTCTGATTCCCACATTCTCCTCACTCTGGGGTCCATTTTCAAAATACATTTCTCTAAGGGAAATAAAACCACATAGTTGTCTCTTGATAGTTTTCCGTTCCAATTCTATGTGAATGCTCAAGGGTCAGTAAGGGATCTGGTTGTTTTAATGGAGAAAGTTTGTTACATAAAAATTTTTTGCAGGGAGAGTCAGTAGATTAGATTAAAAATTTCAGAACTGAATAGAAACCAAACAGGTAGCTCTCAAGAAGACCACTCCTCTCCTCTCCCAAAGGAAGGGGGCGTAGCAGCTCCCACTACACAAAAGGGTATTTTTGTGCTTTTGCTCAAGGGAAAAGGAGAAGAAAAGTCTTAGTATATTCAGTTCACCCTGTTATACTGGTTGCAGGCATTTAAGATAAATAAACAGCTTTCAATTTAAATCTGAAAGCCTGAAGACTTCAAGTCACTTCAAATTATACAAAGAAAATATACACAAATGTTTGAAGTTGCAATGTCAAGGCATAAATGCAATTCTCTTATTTCTCCATAACATTAAGGAGACAGGTAAATTAAAGCTATTACCACTTGGCTTCTAGGAGGAATAATTTAGTCATTCATAAATTAAGTTTTAAGTGGCTAACCTACTCTAGGTGGAAAACATGTAAACTGAGAGGAGAGAATATATTTAAAAACATCACCCAGTACATTACCTGAGTTATGCCAGTCTGTGTCGCTCTCTAGGATGGAAATCTTAACTTTCTGCCAGGATGTGCTATCTGAGAAGCACACATTGTTTTCCAGTTAGAACCTGTGTTGAGCCTGGAGGGTGCAATAAACGGTTTCATTTTCTTGAAGATACACAGATGTGCTGTAATTTTGAAAGGCTTTGAAAAGCTGCTAAGGTGGCAACACTGACTTAATACATGCCTTATTAAGATATTTTCTAGAGATCATAAAATTTAAAACACATGAGGAGATGAAATTTTCCTTGCCTTTTTCATTTAACAAGTTTATTTTTTCCTTTTATCCCCCCATATATTTTACCCCTATACTTCCTGAATCCTGGTCTATTTGCCATGTTCTTAGTAGAAGGAAAAAAAGGAATAACACATAGGAAAGAACTCTTGTCACAGGTATTCATTCCAAAGAGTGGTATACTAAAGAGTTTAACTGTACAATGTGTAATTCTTTTAACCCACAGTCACAATCCATTTCATTTGCATATCTAGCTTGAGGAATTATGGGATACCAGAGCTATTTCTAGAACCTGATTTGCATAATTGTTCTAATCCTTTATGAGCAGGGTGACATGTGGTCTAACAAAAGATTTTTTTTTTAATTTGTATGTTACTTTATAAGCTTTATAAAGATATTTAACACCTTTAGATATACATTTAATACCTGCCTCTACTGAAAGGAACACAATTATACAAAGGCATGATTAGTCTTCTGCTAGTGGCATATGATTTTACTTTTTACTAGTAGGAGGAACAGCTTTGTTCACTGAAAGTTTGTCATTTTAAGTTTTTTTTTTTTCCCTAGCACCTCTTGGTGAGATTTAAATTCATTTAAACGTCATAAGAGAATGTACTGTCGTAATGAGCCTCAGTGACTCTCCCTGTCTCCCAAATTTCGTAATTCATGGGCAGATGACACACTGAGTTTGAAATAGAGGCAGCAAGAAATACTTCTATACATTCTCTTAGAGAGTATGGAATGTGAATGCTCTTGTGACCAAAGAATGTGAGTTTATCCATTTCTGATTTGAAGATTCTTGTGCCATTTGGTTTTCAGTTTCTCATTATGATGTTTTTTTCAGGACTGAGATAAAGAGGAAAACTTCACTTTGGATGTTTGAACTCTGACCAGTCTCCAGCCTCACACTCTCCATCCTGTTTTTCCCCACACCCCGTCTAGCCAGCCCCAGTGGGGAGGGATTCTCACCCAGCCCTGCGTCTTGGTCACAGTGAGAACTAACACCAACCCAACTGCCTTGCTGTTGCCCCCTGGCCTGACTCACACCTGCTCTGTCCTCACCGGGCAATCCTGCGATGTGGGTTCTCAGTCCTGTCACGTCTTCCCGGTGTGTGTGTGGCAGCATCAGCTCCAAGACCCAAACCAGTCTGCGGGGCGGGGCAACCACTGCACAAGAACGCAGAAACCAAGGTTTAAGGTCACAGAACCAAGTTTCAGCTGTAACCAGACGATGCTCTTTTGCAAAGGATGACTCCATTGTGTTGATTAGGGGCGAGGTGCAAGTGTTTTAGCTGAGTCCCTGAGTCGGAATGGCCGAACTGCTTCTCTGGGCTGTTGGGTGACTTCCCCAGGAGGTTACCCTGCGACCCGCTGGTGGGTTAGCCCTGCCTTCACCCTCTGCTTCCAAAGTAGCCAGATTCAATGCTGCATCTCCCTGATGGAGCGCGACTTACTTTTAAGCCAGTGAGGCAGATAATTTTCTGCCCACATTCCATTGCTAAGAACTCAGTCACATGGTCACATCTGGCAAGGGATGCTGGTAAAAGCAGTCTCTAGATGTCATATTGAGTGGCCAGGTGCCCAGCTAAAACCTCTTGGGGGAAAGGCAAGGGTAGAGAGAAAAAGGAGGGAAGAGGGGAGAGAGAGGGAAGAGAGAAAAGAAAAAGAGAGAGAATTTGAGAATGAATGAACTGTGGGAGACAGTCGAAGTCTACCAGCCACGACTTCCATTCAGGGATTTTCCCCCTCTCTAGCTGAATCCAAGAAAATTAATGAGAGTATTAACATCAGTTGTCTCAAAGACTAATGATTGTAGACAACATTTAACTTCCCAGGACCCAATCATGACACATAGTTAGCAACTATTTTTCTGAAATTTTTTACTTTGAGCAGCAAATATTTTCTTTTAAAATTTATACAAGAATAAATATTTATTCATATATCCATGTCCTGGGTCTGAAAATGTTTTATTCTTCCATTTCAAACTCCAACTTGGGATTTCAAAAATATATCTTAAGTGGAAATGTTTAGGAGGAAATGTTGACCAGTGAAAGGACCGTGGCAATATCTAAGCAGAGAGCCACCTTAAAGAAAAAGGATTGATGTTTCTGCTGACACACAGGCTGTGGCCATCTCATCCCACCATGGACCCTGCAGAGAAGGGACCAAACTGATTTGCTTTAAGACAAGATAGAAGAGGTGACAGTTTGAGGGTGTGGTGGGCTGTGGGTAGAGCTGCATGACCCTGGCATTGAGTTGCTGCTGTTGATAACACACTAGATGATGGAGATGTGGGACTTCCTTAAACAATTTTGTTTAATTTTGTTGATGTTTAAGAAATTCCATAATAAAAAGTGATTGTTTTGCTTGTTTGCTCTGAAGAATGAACCACGTACACTCATGTCAACTTCAGCCATAGGGACAGACCTGGTCCAAGTCAAACTGAGAAAACTCCACTTGTGGAACTTCTCAAAGTTATTCAGACCTACCCTTAATAAAACACAAATTTCTCCAATACTCCCTATAAAGTTTTTGAGAGTTTCTGCTTGCTAAGTCACTTCAGTTGTGTCCGACTCTTTGCGACCCTATGGACTGTAGCCTACCAGGCTCCTCTGTCCATGGGATTCTCCAGGCAAGAACACTGGAGTGGGTTGCCATGTCCCATGCCAAGGGTTCTTCCTGATCCAGGTGGGTTCTTTACCAATAGTGTTACCTGGGAAGCCCTGAGTTTCTGCTGCAAAAATATTTCTCATAAATTACTTCTCTCAAAAAGAGGAGAAAAAGTTGGATTCCAACAATGTGGAAGTTTGTGCACTCTGAAGATGTGAAATGTCACATCTCAAATTATCTTACCTGAGCCCTTCCCCTCAAGCTTTAAAGAGTGACTTAATATAAAAATGTCTTCCTTGAAACCCAGTAAACTAAAGAGCTGACCTAAAACTGGTATTTCTTTAAACAGTATACACACTATTTAAGTGTATGAAATGTTTACCTCTCCATGACTTTGAATGCAAAATGATAGGCTTTTTCTTAAAACCCCACTGGGAGGCTTAACTTTTTTTTTAATACTGTCATTTCAAATTTTGTACAATACTGAAACAAAACGTTATATAAGCAGATACAAAATATCTTCAGGATAAACCAATGGTTCTCACAGGTAGACAATTCACCCTAGTCCCTAACCCCTGGGGACATTTGCTGATATCCAGAGATACTTGTGGGTGTCACAACTCAGGGGAACTACTGTCATCTAGTAGGATAGGAACCAGGGGTGCTTCTAAACATTCTATAATGCACTGGGCAGCTCCACAACAAAAACTCAACTGACCCAGAAAGTCGGAAGTGTCAAGGTTGAGAAAGTCTGGGTTACAGTTAGAAAATGCCTGGAAATATTCTTCTCAGTCGCCACTCCAAAGATCAGGCCGTGGTTTTGCCTGGCTGGCACAATTCACGTTTCGTTAAGGATAAAAATCCCCTGTGGACACAAAGATGCATGCTCTTTATGTATACAATACAGGTAAACCAGTGCATTCTATCATCAGAAGTCATGCTCGTACCATGATTTTTCACTTTCTTGCTTTCACTCTTTTGTGACATACCTATGCTTGATTGATAGGCTTACTAGCTGAGCTATTAGTTACAGTTTGTGGCAATATTGGACTTTCTAAAGCATTGTGATGATTTAGGGGCCCAGTAAAATAGAATCCTGGGATGTATGGGAAAGTGGGACAGGTAGAGGGGAGTGTCTGCTTGGGGGTTCGAAAGCTGAGTAACCTGGGAGGGTGCATTTAAAGAGTAAGAGAGAGAAGCCGGGGCCCCATGCCCCACCACAGGGTCTGCAGGAAAGCCAAGGGACCAGCTAGGCTGGAAGCCAGGCCTGCTTCCCTTATTCTAAGGAACTTTGAATTGACTCCTCCAATGAGCTTCGTAACTGACACTAAAGTGCTCCAGGGGGACCCTTCTGCAAACTTCCCTCTAGAAGTAGTATATGGGTGGGGTGGACAGGAGAAAGAAAATGCATTTGTTTAGGTCTGGAGATCATAACTACTTTTGAGGGTTGCAAGAAAAGACGAAGACACTTCGCTACACATGTGACTTCTAATTAGACAGGCATCTCATAAAGCAGCATTAGTGAAGCAGTAGCTTTTCTACAGAAACATATTCCTTCATGCTTTGTCAGTGGCCCTCAGCCACGGGTTCACCTTAGAAGGAAATGAGTACCTTTAAAAACATAATCCTAACATCCAGACCTCATCCAAGACACGTCAAATCGGAATCTCCAGAGGTGGTGGATGATGGAAAATGAGAATGATGCCTCAAGAACAGCACACTAATTAGCGCCTCTAATCTGGGGAAATGTATACTCTGAAAGTTGGGCGGGGGGGACATAGGGGAAAACACACTTTAAGGACTATGCTGTTAAAGATTATCGTCTTGGGGACACGTTAAAAAAATACTAGAACAAAAGCAATTCCTTTTAATGCAGAAGGGAGTACTGAGGATTAACAAATCAGAAGGGATCAAAGAATGAAAGAAAGATTAATTCTGAGGATATTACCTGAAATACATGCAATAGGTTGAAACAGAACGCTCATAAAAGGTTGCTAGTGAATTTTAGACAGTAACCTTCATTGCATAGCAAAAACATCCTGCTTTTAACATGAAAATGGCCCCAGACTTTATAATCTTCTAAAAAATGAAGTAAAAAGAGAGCCACGGTGAGATTTCTGATGTTAGAACTAAAGAAGAATAAAGTTTGTTTATGTGTTTCATCTATCACTGGTCTGGTTTGCTAAAGTTCCAACAAAAGGCTACACTGAATGCTGGAAAGGAAGAGATCTTCAGTTAGATGAGAGGATTTGTAGGGGAACACTTCTGGCACAAACATTTCTACAGTTAGACGCGTGCACCCCAATGTTCATTGCAGCACTGTTTATAATAGCCAGGACATGGAAGCAACCTAGATGTCCATCAGCAGATGAATGGATAAGGAAGCTGTGGTACATATACACCATGGAATATTACTCAGCCGTTAAAAAGAATATATTTGAATCAGTTCTAATGAGGTGGATGAAACTGGAGCCTATTATACAGAGTGAAGTAAGTCAGAACATAAAACACCAATACAGTATAATAATACATATACATGGAATTTAGATGGTAATGATGACCCTATATGCGAGACAGCAAAAGAGACACAGATGTATAGAACAGTCTCTTGGAGTCTGTGGGAGAAGGCGAGGGTGGGATGATTTGAGAGAATAGCATTGAAACATGTATATTATCATATGTGAAACAGATCACCAGCCCAGGTTGGATGCATGAGACAGGGCGCTCGGGGCTGGTGCACTGGGATGACCCTGGGGGATGGGATGGGGAGGGAAGTGGGAGGGGGGTTCAGGATGGGGAACACATGTGCACCCATGGCTGATTCATGTCAGTGTATGGCAAAACCCAATATTGTAAAGTATTTAGCCTCCAAATAAATTTTTTTTAAAAGTGCTGCTCTTAAGAAAAAGGCTGAACAGTTTTCATGAAAGTCAGTGGGTTTCTTTGCCAAGAAATCCAAAGATCCTTTTGAGTTTGGTCAGTAGCTTTTGCCATAAGATCTATTTCTACCTTAGAAAGAATGGAATCCATTCACAACATTTATATCAGACTATAGATTGCTGACTTAGGTTTTCTTGCATAAATTCTCACTTTGCCTTACTTTTAGAAATTCTGGCCTATAAAGCTTCAACTTCCATGAGAGCTTGTCCTAGGGACTGGAAGAAGCAGCACCACCAAACCATCTTTATATCGCAAGGCTTAGTGTGCTTTGCACAGAAATATTTTAAAAACTCTCCATGAAACATGACCACAAGCTTTTTGCAACAACTGTTTGATAAGTGCTGGTAACAAGTTAAAAAGTAATAACCAAATAGAACAGCACACTCCTCAATAAAAATAATAACCAACGAGAGAGGTAACAAATGACAAAGCTCTGTTTTTCTTTGAATGGTAGTGCGTCAGTAGGTACAGTTCTAAGTTTTCTACACCCGATTCACATAACATTCTCTTGGCTCTGTATACGCAGTCTAAGTTTTTAGGTATTAATTTAAAATATTAAGTTGGTGTATATATAAAAGCTACATGTCTTTTAACCTGGGGGAAAACAGATGATTGACCCAATCAAGTTTTCACCACTTAATGAAAAAGGATGTGTTGAACACTATGTGTGAAAACAGCACTGAGCAAAATTGAGCAAAATCACCCATAATTCCACTTGAAGACTATTTTTTTTCCCCCAACAAACTCACCGAGGAATGTTTCTTGAACACAAACTAAACTGAACCAAAAATAATCCTTCTATGGCCAAGTGTGGTACTAAGAACAGCAAAATTCAATACACTTAGAGCACACATTACCCCAGGGGAAAAGTTATACATAATATGCAACTCTAAGTCCTGGCTGAATAAATTGACTATAAAATGAACAATTACTTCTTGTGGGTTAGTGGGTTGGCATGGCCACTTCAGTCAGTTAAACACATTTCATAAGTTGTTTATTTGCAAATTTGAATCCATTCACAATACTTGTTGGGGTTTTTTCAAGGCCAGGCTACACTGGCATCGCCATAGGCCAGGACCTAGCACCCTGTCTAACCACTTATGATCAGTACCTATTACTATTTGCTGAATCAAGACAGTGAAATGCCATGAGTCCATTTTGATTACAGTTATGCATGTCGTAATTTTCCTTCATTCCCCCAAACCTCACCGATTTACACATTATTTTTGTACTACCATAAAACTCATGCAAACAGAACTTTCCTGTATGTAAAAGGGAAATGTACACACTGTTAGGGCTATATTATGAACTCTGGAGTCTTTACCTATTTTTTTTTTAATATGGGCTATATAGAAATCCACTTGTAATAAAAACTGACAACTGTGACAAAAATAAGGATATAATATTAAAAATAAATCAAATGATATACAGTACTGTCATTATTCTGATACAGAATGTTTACACAGCAATAGCGGTGTGTACAAATGACAGGGTGTCAGGCAATCCATTACAACAGACCTTTGGGTTACAGATAAAGTTTAAATGACAAATTAATACTGATTTTAAAATGGTAACTAGTGTTATGCCAGATTAAAATCAATACCTCTTCTTCAAGTGACATTTTCTGGAACATCTCTAACTAGGAGACTTTTGTTTTTAAAAAATCTTTATAAAAGGAAAAAAATAAATGTAGTATCGTACTGGAAATGTTTTTTTAAAAAAATTCCAAATCTATAAATCTGGACTAAATTAATTTGACTTCCCATTCTCTCTGTCCTTACACTGGTCAACCGCATACCTGAAACCCACTTACATAAGCAGGTTCAGTCAAAGTTCAGAAGCAGCCCTGTCTCTACTCCCTATAAGAGAAGTTTAGGGTTTAGAAGTTTAGGGTTTCCACTGTTTAGGTATCAGGCAAAAAAGCTTGATTCTCATCAGTGATTCTGCCAGCAAGCTCAAGAATATGGATCCTCACTTTAAAATGCTAGACGGTCAGGGAGGGAAATGCCAAACAATAAAATGAGAGTCTTAAAATTCATTGGGGAATGAAGGAAAGCGACCCAAGTGTGCGTTGTGCTTGTGTGTGATGGGACAGGGCTGGAGGCAGGGTATGTTTAAGGGAAAAAAATTTCTGTAACAAAATAACAAATTTGTATTCTCTGCACTTCTGTGAAAATGGGTGAGTTATTGGCATTAAAAAAAAAAAAAGCCAAATGAAAACACAAACAGGGAAATGAAAACTGTTCCATAATGTCCTGCACTTTATGTTTCTATTCAAAATGTAAATTCCCTTTCAATCGAAAAAAAAAAAAAGTACAACATCATTTAAAAATCAAAGAGGGAAATGTGACTTAGAGAACTGAGGAAGCAATACCATTTCTTTCTGGCATATTATTTATTTGACACAATCACAGGTGAACAGGCTTTACAGATATCGTGTGGCTATTGACATTCAAAGCTTCTCCTCTAAAGTGATTACTTCCGGGCTGAACAAGTATATCGTTTAGACGAATTCCGTGAACAGGCTAAGTCGGGCAGGCATGGACATGTGTGATGCTTTCTTTCCCCCATATATGGAACCTAAAATAAAAAAGAAAACTGAGTTAGAGCCGGAAATGTTAAAAAAAAAAAAACTATTCTTAAGGAATTTCTTTGATTAATTAGTGTTTATTAAATATTAACTGTTCCTCAAACAACAGCATCTATGTTCATGTATTATCCTTTCGTATCCTTACAACCACTCTGTGAAAATGGCTAATACTTTAATCACACCCATCTTATAGATGAGAGACGGAGGCACAGAGAGGTTAGGAACTTGCCTGAGGTCACATATCCAGAACTTGAAGTTTGGCTGGCAAATGGACCTGAAGGACCAAGCTTTTAATCAGCAAGCTACACTGTCTTTTACATTTTCTCATTTAGTTTTTTTTTAAGAGTGTCCTGCTCCTGAAGCTCCTTGAAGAGAACATAACTTTATGGGCACAACCACATGAACACAATGAGCAAATAAAAATTCACTGATGACGAGAAATGTATAAATTCATCCATTTGTGCAAAGATGTGAGGGAGTTCCCTGGCAGTCTAGTGGTTAGGATTTGGTGTTTTCACTGCCATGGCCTGGGTTCAGTCCCTGGTCAGCGAACTGAGTTCCTGCAAGCCAACAAAATCAGGGAAGGAGGTAGCCTGATTTGCAGAAATGCAACAGAGCAAACCCCAGGCAGGGAGAGCCAGCAGTGAAAGGTCGCTCTCACCCCAAGCACAGTTCAGCTGCTGTTTCTAAGAACCTGCTTGTGCCTTGGGTGAAGCTAGGTGGAGGAGGGTCAGCTAGCAACTGGTGTGGCTGTTCTCTGTGCCAGGGGCAAGTGAAGAACTCAAAAAACATGTATGCTTTCTAGAAGCAAAGAGCAAAAACCCCTTTTCTTCCCATAGGAAAGGTGCCCTCTCAAGAATCTGCCTGCTTTACAAGTGATAGGGAGAAAGTTTAACTCTAGGCCTGCAAGTGGTTGATATTAATGAAATGAGATGGCAAATTACCCGATTGAGGGTAATGTTAGAGAGGAGAACTATTGCAATCTCATGCCTTCAGGGGATCCTTCCACAGTTCACACATGGCACAGAAATGCATCCTTCCTGCTTCCCAGCTCAAATGCTTCCTTTGGTGTCATTCTAGCGCATTTTCTATTCTATTCCACCAAGAGAGGCTACCCCACTTCAGTGATCTATCCTTACAAAGAAAATCTTGAGATGCATCTTCCAGATGCCTTCTAAATAATTTCTTTCTGCATCAAACAAAAGGCTGAACAAAAGGCTATCTGCAGACAGTGGCAGATGCAGACAGTGGCAGAACCATTCTAACCTTATTTCCAGGTTGAATTGATTGGATGGACCCAATTCTATGGGTGTTCAACATTGGTCAAGGTTAATTGTTCTGGGCATCATCTTTGGATGCTACCATGCTCATGTTCTCCTTACCTTTTCCTTTCTTCTCTTCCTCTTTCTTCTTTCCTGCCTTCCAATTTCCAAAATGGTTCTGGAAGGGCCAGGGAGATGGTTGAGGTCAATAAATCAAAGGGAAGGGTAGGCGGGTGGGGATGGCACGTGGTGAACAGGCAGGACACCCCAGTTCTTTGTCCTTTTGTGAGAGCCTTACTTTCAAGGCTCTAAGGGCGGTGTCCACATGGGGGCACGTGGCCGTGGGTCCCACGCAGACACGGGCTAGAATGGTTCTGTCACTGTGTGTGTCAGAGGGTCCATGGAAGGCTGGCTCATTCATTGCCACTGAGAATATATATATCAGAGGAGGTGGGGGCAGCAGGAATGGCTTGGACAATTCCAAGA